GTATATGAGATATGATCAGGTGAGGTGAGGTGAAATTGGGTTTAACGTCGTGCTTGAGAATATTTCGCTCATATGACGACGTGCATGGGTGTGTATGTGTAGGTGCGACTGCTTGTACTAGCCCAGACTGAAGCTGGTTTTATAGTGCTAGCCCACTGAGATACCATGCCGCAGTGAAGCATGAATACCCAACTCAGACACATTATACTGACTCCGAGCCGACCAGTCCTTGTTGTACCCATTAATGCCGAGCGCCAGGCAGGGACCAACAAGTACCATATTTTAACGTCTTTTGGTATGACGCGGTCGGGGATCGAACCCGCGACCTTCCGCTCTCCGGGCGGACGCTCTAACCACTACACCACGGAGGCGGTCCCTCATCATGTAAACTGTGTGAAAAGTGGATGCTGTCAACCATCAGGGCGGTGCAGTAGCCCAGTGGTTAAAGCGTTCGCTCGTCACCCCGAAGACTGGGTTCGATTCCCCACGGGTGCAATGTGTGAAGCCCATTTCTGGTGTCCCCTGCCGTGATATTGCTGGAATATTGCTAAAAGCGGCGTAAAACTAAACTCACACATTCACTACTATTTAAATCAGCGTTAAACCCAAGTCACTCACTCCCGAACCCATATCATTACAATATCACACGCATGAATTCAACTGGTGTACCATTTCTGGTGTCCCCCGCCGTGATATTGCTGGAATATTGCTAAAAGCTGCGCAAAACCCAATTCACTCACTCACTCAACTGGTGTAACGCAATCCCCACGGAACGGTTATAAATAAACTTTAAGGTGCAGCCCGACATTAATCATATCTCTTACATGTTGTGTTATACAAACACGTGGTGACCCTGGCCTGCAGACACGTTATATGTTCAAGAGTAATAAATGATGACGTCACGGCTTCATGGAGGTAGGATAAGATAGTAGAAGGGATCATAGTTCAGACTGGTTTCTTTTGAAGGTGTCTCCGAATGTGTCACAAGCAACGTTAAAGGAGTAAGGTCGGATTTTTTTTGCTTAGCTATACTGACTGACTGATTGAGTTTGGTTTTACGCCGCTTTTAGCAATATTCCAGCAACATCACGGCGGGGGACACCGGAAATGACTTGAATTCATGCGTGATATTGTAATGTTATGGGTTCGGGAGTGAGTGACTTGGGTTTAACGCTGATTTAAATAGTAGTGAATGTGTGAATTTAGTTTAAAGCCGCTTTTAGCAATATTCCAGCAATATCACGGCGGGGGATACCAGAAATGGGCTTCACACATTGCACCCATGTGGGGAATCGAACCCGGGTCTTCGGCGTGACGAGCCAACGCTTTAACCATTAGGCTACCCCACCGCCCCTGCTTAGCTATAACCGGCCTGTTGTGTATATTCTAAAGATTAGAATTTCGTCTTTGCCTTCTTTTTTACAACAGTAAATTATCTTTGATTTACCTCGAACAGCTTGACTTGACGTACTTAATCGATTAGTTAACTAAACTCCAGAGACCTATATATCATTCCCGAACTCACTCGCTGTAATGGAAGCATTTCCCATATACTGACCCGAGTTACATTATCTTTACAAAGACATGTTTTGGGGTAATCTATTTTTAGCCCACACCCTGCTGGGATGGCAATGCAAAGCTGAATTAGGTGGTATGAACAGGTAGTGCCGTCAAAGATCAAATCGACAAAAGTATGCCATGAAATTGACGTAACACAGGCTTTATTTGCTTAGAACAGCAAGGGCTAGGATAACGCTGTTCCTTAAAGCTACATGATACAGATTAGACGGTTTGTGCCGTCTTTCATGTTTATGGTGTATCTTAACCTGATGCCCATATAGCTGCCCTAGACCCTTCAAATAGCGCTGGGATGTCGTGTATGGATATTAGATGTATAGTTAATGAATGAGTTGGGTTTTACGTCGCTTTTAGCATTATTCCAGCAATGTCACGGCGGGGGAAACCAGAAATGGGCTTCTCACATTGCACCCATGTGGGGAATCGAACCCGGGTCTTCGGTGTGACGAGCGACCGCTTTAACCACTAGGCTACCCTACCGCCTCTATTATATGTATAAGGTGGTAGTGCATTTGGTACTCCCTGAAATGTTTAAATTCGTGACAAGACGCAATATCTTGAACTCTGTCTTTAATTCGCGAACTTCGAAAAAAATATAAAATCAAGTAACAGAGCCGAGTCTGTTGTCATCTACAACCTTCTTTTTTAACTCGACAGAAAACCAATACTTTGTAAGTCGGATATCAGTATGTGTCAAATTCGCATAGAGCTTTATCATATTGCAAACACCTCACGCGTAACGAAATTGTCGATAACATTATACCATTCACAAAGAGACCCGGGTTAATATACGTTTAAGCTTTGCTTTGACCTGTCATATATCATATATTTATTAAGTCTTTACCCAACTTGATATCATTTGTCAGACCCTTGAAATGTCCCACCGCTTATAGAAATCAAATATTTACATTTGATAAACCTGTCATAGAGCAAATTGTTACCTCTACGATCTGTCAGTTAGAGATCGGCCCTGCATGCAACGCTAATAAAATTCAAGCGCTGGTTGTACTGTATGTACCTGCTAAGCAAGCAATTACACAGGCCGAGAAGACTATCAAGTACAAAGCGTGAGCCTCTATAGCGACCGGTATCGGCAACGAAGCTTGGCGTGTAGTGTTGTATGTATTGTGTCTATAACGGTGAGAAACTCATGGACGGTATTGTCCTCACCTGTAGTGTCAGTGTGTATTAAAGAACCACTGAGTAGAGAGTGTACAGCGCAAGCAGGTGGGACATGGAGGTGGTCACATGGAGGCCAAGGTGGGTGAAGGCGTTTCCTGGGGAGAGCTACTTACTCCTTTGCTATTTTGTTTGTCTGCACGAGTATATTTTACGCATTCGTTGTCGTAGTTGAGTAGAATTCCATGTACACAAACAGGTTGTAGTGTGCTTACACTTACATACAAACACACAGACATGCACGCGAACCCACGAACGCACGCACACGCACATACTAGAAACCTTTAACGGTAAGTTCATTTGATAATTTTGATAAATTTAATCAAAATATATACTTTGGATTTAGGTGCATATTGGGTCGTTTCTGAATTCCACTCGTCTTAATGAACTTGACGCTACTTTTACGCTGTCTTGAACACTGTATATATCAACATACTTCCTCAGACTGAAACATATCCCAAGTGAAATAAACCTTTGACTTTGACTACTTTGCTAAAATACACGGACGCAATACTACTGACAGTCCACTCGTTATGATCTGGTCGAGTTTGTGAGTCGAATCTTTCGTGTCATGTGTGTTTTGTTTACTATATATTGTTCTTTGACTAATATTGTGTTGTGGCGTCAGTCTTCAAAGACGGACAGGAAGTGACAGCTCTGCTAACAGCTGTATAACGTATAACCATTAACCGGTGTGTTTGTTTCAGCTTTTTATTGTGAAGTGACGTCACATGTTTAGGGGATCGTTACATGTTTATGCAACTCATGGCTTCATTCTTAAACAACATTGTAATGGGCACAAATGATAGTTATCTTGTATGATAAAAGCGATGTCGTACATTTATTTGTGAATATCGATCATAGTGTGTAATTGTAATATTCAATGTGGATCTGTTGAGAACTGATTGGTCTAATATAGTTCATAATGGTATGTTCTATAGATATAGGTTTCTATGATTTTTATGCTGGCTGGCTGAGTATGGTTTTACGCCGTTTTTAGCAATATTCCAGCAATATCACGGCGGGGGACACCAGAAATGGGCTTCACAAGTTGTACCCATGTGGGGAATCGAACCCGGGCCTTCGGCGTGACGAGCGAACGCTTTAACCACTAGGCTACCCCACCGCCCCCTATGATTTTTATGAGTGGGTGAGTGAGTTTAGTTTATGCCGCTTTTAGCAGTATTCCAGCAATATCACAGGGGACACCAGAAATGGGCTTCACACATTGTGCTTATGTGGGGAATTGAACCCGGATCTTCGGGGTGATGAGCGAACGCTTTAACCACTAGGCTACCCCACCTCCCCCAATGAAACCCACGACCACGGACATTGCGGTGCTGACAAACTAAGGATAAAAATCGGGACTAATCTGGTGCGAAAAGCCTTTGGTTAGTTGACCAAGAACCGTGAGCAGTGTGCGAAATAGCCACTGGCCCGCTAGCCCGTGGCTGAGTGAAAATCCAGTCAGGCCAGTAAATCTCCACAGTTACTGGCCCAACTGGCTGGTGAATTTTCATGGGGTCATTTTGTAAATATATCACTCTCTCCCACTTGTTAAGTTATAATACACTTTTAAATCATGCAAGATTATGGTCTGATAAAAATGTTCTCCATATTAGCAGCTTAATGGTGAAACCCGTGTCTACATTCAAATGTCGGGCAAGTGAATTATTTTGTGGGCTAGTAACTTTCAGGCATAACTAGCCCGACTGCCTAGCAAAATCTGGAAACTATTTCGCACACTGCCTGTGAGTGAGTTTAGTTTTACGCATTTTTAAACAATATTCCAGCAATTTCACGTCGGGGGATAATTCTCTTATCGCATATCATGGTTTACATGATACCATCTTGTCAGACCATGACATCATACCATCTTGTCAGACCATTACATCATACCATCTTGTCAGACCATTACATCATACCATTATGGGAAACCGTTGCAGTATACCATTTTAGAATGGCATACCACTTGGCGCACGTTACTATTGTACACCTTCACAGTATAGTGAGTGAGTGAGTTGGGTTTAACGCCGCTTTAGCAATATTCCAGCAATATGACGGCGGTGGAAACCAGAAATGGGCTTCACACATTGTACCCATGTGGGGAATCGAACCCGGTCCTTCGGCATGACGAGCGAACGCTTTAACCACTAGGCTACCCCACCGCCCCTTCACAGTATAGGGCTGGGGCACTATTATTACAACACAATGTCCAAACTGATGATTCTTTTGTTTTACAGTCTTGCAGACCATCAGTTTCGAGCAGAACTGCGCAGACTCATGGGGTCAGAGGTCATACACTTAAACGACCGGAAGTGGAACGAGAGATTCCAGCGCCGTCTTCAGGAGGAATACGAGGTAATGGAGAATAGGGGCGACCAGTGCCGCCTTGCGCGTTGTAATAAGACGAAAGATCATTCACATTCATAATTACCGCCCACCCAATATTCTACAAATTTGTGCCAAATGTACCATATTTCCTTGTGATTTTGATATTTTATTGGCAGCAAACATTCAACAAAGGCCATAAAACAATTTTACGGAAGTAATAATGGAACATATAAACATGAAAATAGCGTGAATTACCTTAAGTGTCGAAAACCATGCGTGTAGTTTAAGAGAACTACGAGGGTTTACGACCTAGACGTAATATTCTCTAAAATAGTAACATCAACATCAGAGAGTGGCTATTTTCGTTCGTCCAGACAACGCATCTTATTCCATGAAAATAGCAATCCTGATCACCAAACGCCTGAAAGAAGATTTAAGATAAAAATTTCATGTCTCCGTGTTTTTTTTAGATGCAAATGGCTATCAAGGATATTTTTATATATATATTCGCAAAATAATGACACAACACAATATTCCTCCTACGACTTTTAACTTTACCTTCAGGGCCCCGAAGACAATGTTGAAACGTCTTGAATGGAATTTCGTGTTGTGTTATCATTGTGTCTATTTCTCGATACAGGTGAGGTGAAATTGGGTTTTACGTCGTACTTGAGAATATTTCGCTCATATGACGACGTGCATGCGTGTGTATGTGTATGTGCAGCTGCTTGTACTAGCCCAGACTGAAGCTGGTCTTATAGTGCTAGCCCATTGAGATACCATGCCGCAGTGAAGCATGAATACCCCACTCAGACACATTATACTGACTCCGAGCTGACCAGTCCTTGTTGTACCCATTAATGCCGAGCGTCAGGCAGGGACCAACAAGTACCATATTTTAACGTCTTTTGGTATGATCCGGTCGGGGATCGAACCCGCGACCTTCCGCTCTCCGGGCGGCCGCTCTAACCACTACACCACGGAGGCGGTCTTTCTCGATACACGTACCTCTAGTGTGCACTGCTGATCTTATTTATCATATAGTACCCATCAAAAGTTTAGACTCACTTATAGCATTCACTATATGTTATGCATGTATGTGTGGTTACATCGAAGATGAATTTCTCCCCTCACTTGGGGGAACCAACTGCAAACCTTATGCAGATGAATTGCATGAGGATCATGCATCAAATTACTGAAAAGCATGTGCAAACATCATGCATGTGAACAACTGCGTTTTGTTAAGAATTCGCCAATTTTCACTGCGTTTTATTATTTATTGAACTCCTGACAATAATCTTTTCAACGTTACGAATTTGTTTTACGATACATCCGTTCATGTGTAAACAGTACCTTTAAACAGTATGGGGTATTTTGCAAAATCTAGTTTAGATCAGTTGACTGAAGTAAATGGCTACATTTACACTAGTGAGTCTAAACTTTTGATGGGTATTATATATCATTATGATGTCACGTCACAGTATGATCTGAAGACTAACACCGCTTATTCTCTGAATATATATAATTTTGATAGTAACAAACAAACCCATTGAAATTGACAAGGAGTCCCTGGGAGACCAGAGATTCAGACCTGGGGAAATCTAGACTTGGTTTATTTAGGGCTTTAGCATTGCAAAGAGGGTTTGGCAGTAGGAAAATAATATGGTTCAGGGACTGTACGACAGACTATATAATCTGTAACTGTAATTACTCTCTGAGGATAAAGTGGAAACGCGTTGGAGGGCAAATCGTGTTATTTTATTTTGTCGATTTCTTTTCATACGACTGAGTTTAGTTTTACGCCGCTTTTAGCAATATTCCAGCAACATCACGGCGGTGGACACAAGAAATAGGCTTCACACAATGTACCCATGTGGGGATTCGAACCCGGGTCTTCGGCGTGACGAGCCAACGCTTTAACCATTAGGCTACCCCACCGCCCCTCTTTTCATACGTACTACTGTACACGTTAATTTGTAACTGTGATCTATCTCTGAGTGAGTGAGTGAGTGAGCTTAGTTTTGGGCAGCTCTCAGCAATATTCCAACAATATGACGGCGGTCTGTATATAATCGAGTCTGGACCAGACTCTCCAGTGATCAACAGCATGAGCATCAATCTACGCCATTGGGAACCGATGACGTGTGTCAACCAAGTCAGCAAGTCTGACCACCCGATCCCGTTAGTCTCCTTTTACGACAAGCATGGGTTACTGAAGATCAGTTCTAACCCGGATCTTCACGGGTGACCCTCTGAAACGCGTAGAAGAAAAATAAATTCGTGTTGTGTCATTATTTTGTGCATTTCTCATCATATGTACTACTGCTGAACTTCATCCTTGGTGAAAGATCTGAAAGATCTGTTTTCCCGCATGAGCGGGCATCTCATTGTGAACTTCTTAAAGGATATAGACCAGGGCCTAGATTTTCGAAGCACTCTTAGCGCTAAGATAGTCGTAAGTGCCATACATTAACATAGACTTACGACTATCTTAGCTCTAAGAGAGCTTCGAAAATCTAGACCCTGTATCTTAAATAAACTATGTAATGTGTATGACGGATTGCTTGTATTTAAATTTGGTGCTATGATTTATTATGTTTGTAAATAAAAATGTCATGAACAAATAATGTATTTATGAAACTCATTTGAGCGTTGTACTGGAATTGTGTATCTATGTAGACTTGATCTTGTCGCTATATGGCTGAAATAATGCCGATGTGACGTAAAACTTTAACTTACTCACCCTTTTATTGGTATGTGTGTATGCGTGCGTGCGTTCGTGCGTCGGTGTGTATTATAATAGACTCTCTCAACATGTTTATTCAACATGTTATCAACATATTTATCATCTTATCAGTAAGTCATCTTATTATTCTTTATGTCCAACAGAAACGACTAGACCGGAAGGAGGATGAGTTGGCTGAAGCCGAAGCAGTGCGCATCCGGAAGTTGAAGCTTGAAGGCTTAGTTCCATTGTCAGCAGAAAATGACGCGGATGAATACGGTCACGTGACAAGAGGAAGTTGTAAAAGGACAAAAGAAAAGAGGAAAAGAGGACACAAGTCCCGGGTATGTTTCGAAAGTAAACTAAAAAATGTCACATTTTAGCGTTAGATCTTTCTGTGACAAAAACATCATGTGAAGTAAGAGGAAGTGTACATTGATTCAAGACAGAATGATCCCCTTCATGAAATATTCAAAAGGTATCGTCGAATAGTTAGAAATTGAAATATTACAAAGACGGCATGTTGACATTAATCAGCGGATATTCTTCCGCCGGGTTTCCGGTTGATGTATTCCTACGCGCTGCGGATTCAGATGAAGGCCCTGTAATTAACGCTGTTCACTATATACGCCCCCTACGCATCGATATTAATCTGCTCCGCCATCAACTTGACAATGCATTGTCAGGAGCGCACCGTGTCACCTGTCGTACAATCATTCACAGAGTCGCATCCAGTTTACCCGGAGCCTGGCACTGGCCCTTCGAAACTAATCCCATATTAAACCGGTTCATGCGAAGTGTACATTGTTGGGATTTATTGGAAGAAGGAGCATCATCAATAACAAGTCATGCGTTCTAAAACGGCGTTTCCAATCAGCATGTAGGTGGAAATCACATTGGTCTGTACAAATAAGGTGTTTATTTAAGGTAAGATTAATTTTAAAATAGAAACGTTATTTGTTAAACATTTTTCCTTCCAGACAAAAAGATCCCCCAGTCCTTCTCCCCGTGGGAGCAGATGCAGGAGTGCACCGCCTCGGCCAGCCACGTGGTACAAACCGTCTGAGGTAAGCTCAGCTGGGGTAGACACTGGTCGGAGTGAAACCTCGTTAGTACGGACCCTGTTAATAACAATTCATATACATAATTGTGTATACACAAAACCACATAATTCCGTACACAGGTGTGGATACAAATAACGTCGTGAATCTGAACGAATTCTTAACCCACGCACGGATCTACAAGGTTTTAGTTAATAAGATGACGACACAACCGCTCAATAAGAGCGCGGTACCATACATCCATATATACAGGCATCTATGGTCAGCAGGAGAGGGCGTTTATAATTAACCTACATTGCTCAGGAATATACATCTGGATCGTTCCCGCTGGGCTGTTTGTTCTCTTTACGTCAGTCCTGATTAGTGGAGAAAAACAACGCGTGTGATATATATATATATATATCACGGCGTGATGGATAATGTGGGCTGAACGTTCGGTGTTACGTTGGTTGAAGTGGGTGAGTGAGTTTAGTTTTACGCCGCACTCAGCAATATTCCAGCTCAATCACTTACTGAACAGCCCCGTAAAGATCCGGGTTAGAATTGATCTTCAGCAGCCCATGCTTGTCGGAAGAGGCGACTAACGGGATCAGACTTCCTGACTTGGTTGACACATGTCATCTTATCCCAATTGCGTAGATCGATGCTCATGTTGTTGATCACTGGATTGTCTGGTCCAGACTTGATTATTCACAGACCGCCACCATATAGCTGGAACATTGCGGCGTTAAGCAAAAAAGAGGGGAAGAAGAAAAAGAAATAAAACATTCACTCAACACCCTCTCACGCTCACCTACCCAAAACTTACTCGTTCTCACCCGCTTACCGAAACTCATTCGTAAACTCACCCTTAACGAAACTCACCCACCCACCCGCTTCCTTACAGGACATCCCGACTCAGGTGGAACTGATGAACAAGCGAAGATCCGGAAAGCAGGGCAGGGGCAGAGACCATTCAAAATCGAGAGATGCGTCACGTGATAACAACAAGAGGCCCTCGAGAGTGAGTAATCCGAAAGCGAGGCTAATAGTTACGTTCAAAGTAGGGTCTACGTTGATTCAGTTGGCCCTGTTCTTAATAAGAGGGCATGTATGTATACCAGCGTGCGAAATAGTTTCCAAAGTTTGCTAGCCAGTCAGGCTAGCTACGCCTGAAAGTTACTAGCCCTCAAGATAATTCACTAGCCCAATATGGCTATATGGCTAACATTTTTATCAGGCCATAATCTCGCATGATTTGAAAGTGTATTATAATTTAACAAGTCGGAGAGAGTGATATATTTACAAAATGACCCCATGAAAATTCACCAGCCAATCGGGCCAGTGACTGTGGAGATTTACTGGCCCGACTGGATTTTTAATAGCCAGGGGCTAGCGGGCCAGTGGCTATTTCGCATGCTGAATGTATACTGCTTGGAAGAGGTTTGAATACACCCGATTCTTTCACAATCCTCCACACACGGAAACATGTTTTCAGATCCTATACGCAAACCTAAACGTCTGCCTTGTTCCACGATTTTGACGCGTTGCTGAGGATCGTATTGAACAGCTACACATTTTTTTGGTCTCAATTTGGAAAATCAACTCTTAATTGTCTCAGAGTCTGAATTTGTAAAAACAAATTGTAAAATAAATGTAACATACATAAAGCTTTCGTGCTAGTTGGTTTACATTATTATTTTTTTAATGAGAAAACAAGTCCTTCCAAAGTTATACTCCCGAAGTAGTGGTCATATTAGTACCAGAACTCGAATAGTCGTGTGTTATATAGGCAGTACATGAAGCAGTGTGCAACCCAAATGAAACTATGATTACACAACAGTCTCGTTTCCTGTTGACTGGGTCCCGTCCTATAGCGCAACTTAGTACAATAACCAGTCCAGAAGTTTGAGACCAATTCATTTAACTGGATACATAATTATTAATCAATATTATTTGATACATCTAAGCACTTATATATTGCAACACTACGCTCCTAATCCTTGCAAACACGTCGTGCAGTTGGCTCTGTAGTATAGCGAGCTCTGACAAACGGAAACCTGGAAATCGTGGCAATCTCAAAACGAGTCTCTCCCGCTAGAAAAGTTTGGCGGTCTGGTACGGACTTGATATTTAAGAATCACATTGTGCGTTACAGAACTACACTGAATAAGCGCAAAAAAACCACATAACAGGTGTAACCAGTGTGCCAGATGCATTGTGAATCATTTTACGACCTCATCAACCAGAGGCAGTCTGTGACGTCTTAGTTAAGGTCATGATGCTTACACCTCGCCATAAAATATAGTAATACGATGTTATTAAAGTTTAAAATTACAATTCATTTGTAAATACCATTTTCTTATGAAACAAGAAATTGGAATTCAATGTAACCATAGTTGTTTGTGATGTCTATTTTCACTTTCACACGAGGAAATTCGGATCGGCTGAAAAGTAGGTCATTGTCTGAATAGGTTAATGAGACTCATGTTTCGGTTTGTAACGCAAGTCAGTCGTAAGTATTTTTGTAAGTTGCGAAACAATCTAAGTATTCTCGTTCGTTATACGAATTCGTCGTAATATATCAATGTAATCAAACATAAATGTCGAAGTAACTTATCGTGAATGTCTTATTATTTATCATCAAAAACTGTGTTCCACAGGAGATATGGTTTGTGTGAGATCAAACGATAACCCCCATCAGATATCGTTTTGACAGCTGTTGTACAATGCCCTGACAATGCTATGACGTCTTGAAGTTGATGACGTCACAATGCTATGACATCGACGCACTGCAAGTCTAATGTCAGTACCGTGTTTAGACATTTACATTTTACATTGAAAACTAAAGAAAAAATAATTTTAATATGATAAATAGAATCTCACCCTCGTGTCTTCTGATATTAAATATAGCAACACTCGTTGATAAGAGTAAAAATATCCTCGGTGAGCCTCGGATATTTGTAATTTTATCAACTCATGGTGATATATTTGATATCAACAGACACACGGGTGAGATTCTCTATATATACTGAACAAGAAAAGTTATGTTTCATAAGTATGTTGGGAGATACCCTTTTGTATTGAAGACTGAGCAAACGATGTCATGAATACTGAAATATATTCATGATTCCACACGTTTTGTGGTAGTATTATTAGTATAGGATATTTATATAGCGCACATATTCACGCAACTCAAGGCGCTGGTATTTCATTTCCCTCGATCATTGGATGTCAATCTCAAGGGCACATCGTATTATCAATCTCAACTCCCTGGGGATCATACAACTCTTGCAGCCACTAGGCGCACCAAGATAATGTGGCTTTCCCATCCTTACTAGGTACCCATTCAAAGCTGGGTGGACTGGGACACATAGTCACAGTACTTTGTCCAAGTTTACTGCACGTTGCTGTACCTGCAACAAGGTGTTTGCACTTATTCATGTGGCCACCATCTGGTCATATACCAACGGATTCGTGGGTTCTTTTAAGTGCACAGGGTTGTGTACTGTACACTTGGTGTTGTGACAACCCTGACAGAGTCTGCACACAAAGTTGACTCCAAGGTTTTTACACCCGGTCACAGGTGGACTCGATCCCGACACTCGCTGAATCACTAGCCTGGCGCCTTAGACAGCTCGCTCACCATGACCCCATGTGTTCAGGATATGCCACACGTCGTTAGTGTCAAAATAAGATTTCCAGTTGTCTGACATTGATCATTCGAAAGACTGAGTGATTATATACAGTCGAGCACCGCTGCGTCGAACTCTGATAACTCGATATCTCGGTTGTCTCGATATAACATCTCGGTTCCGGCAAAATTCTTCATAATTTATCATTATTCAAGCTCCTTTAACTCGATACGGATGTCTCGATATTTCGGATATCTCGATATAATTTTATGGTCCCAACATAGTTGTACGTCTTAAATCTCGACAGGACCTAGGCTAAATCAGTGTCTTGTGGGCTCGCTCAAATCAGTGAGCTGGGTATATCGCACGTGTGATGATAATATAATGATTACACAATGATAATATTAGGTACATCACAGCGAGTCTGCTTAATATGAGAGGAAAGTGAAAAACACTATGGTGCCGAAAAACCAAGACTCAGGGCGAATCTGCTCGCCCAAAGGACGCGAGTCTATACAGCGAATCGCGGCGCCAACAAACATATTAAATTATGATGTCTTCAAACTGAAGTAGATTGAGCAATGACTCTGTGGACTGTACGTGATTTCCGAATTAATTCATCTGAGGTTGTTAAATGTTGATATCCAAAACCGGAATGATCGAGGCATGAACCAAGGGACACATTTGCTTGGAAAAAAGTGTGTTAACTCATAGACTCTCTTATTGTCATGGTAGCCCAGCATCAATACTGGCGTTTGCAACAGTCTCAGCAAATGTCCCAATGAGACGCAAATAGACACATCAAGCCTCTATTTTATTGCAAATCATTCAACTCCTTTCCTGGAATTTTGTTAGAAAGGAACGGAAGGTTAAAATTGCATGTCAAATAAATCTGAAATGCAAATATTTCCTCTTCTTGCCTATTTCCGGCGCTACATCGTCTCCTTTGACAGCGTTTATTATGCAGCCTGCTTGAAAGACTTCTAATCTCGCCGGTTAGCCATGTTTGTTTTTTCTTCTGGGCGTAATACGGCGTTTTACTGAAAGAGGCCAGAATCAATCAAGTCTTGTCTCCACACTGGCATGTATATACAGCTACCCAGTCCCGACTCTCGTTTGTTCGCTTGTCACATTACTTGGCCGTCAAAGAAATGCAAATACCACCCCCGACCGCCATTAGATGCCGTAATCCGGTCGCTACACTATAGAAATGTCGTTAAGCCTAAGGCGAGGAAAATATTATTGTCGTAAAATTATGGTTTCTGGCTACGAGTAGAGAATGGGTTCATTTAGCGTCTTTTATGTGATGTTAATATTTCATCTGCTATAGAAAGTTAGATTTATACTCTACATCAGAATTAGACAGGGATTGTAAAATCAGCCAACTAAATGCATTTAATGTAAAAGCACTTTTACAAAAATAACTTTAGAGAAGAGCGTCGCTATGATAAGATAATGCCTGTCCTCTGAATTATTTCATTTACATTGCACTAGATATTTAAAGGTTTTATGCTTTTTACGAAATAGGAAAAAATGACCACCTACTGCCCACATCAGACGTCGAACAAAGAACAATGGTAATGGACAACAAATGTCCACGAATGACCCTTTTATATAAATAGATCTTGTCTGGGCTCATCTACGGTAATGGGGGAATTGCAAAGAATGTTTTGGTCTCTAAAAAGTCTTTTAGCTGCAAACGCCATTTTACCAGAATAGACGGATTGAACGAGCGTGTATTTGAGAAAGCAAACTAACAGAATGCTAAAGGCCAGTTGTCCTGGATTATTCTTGCATGTCTAACTCTGAACTAATGCAGCCATGTTTACCGACTTAAGGGTAACTGACGTGTATCACCCATCTCATTTATCTGGAACAAGTATGATCGATGGCGCCACGTCAGTCCCTTCACTGATCTGTAAAACTGCTGACGACAATAACGTAAACCTTTTTGTTGATAGGAAACACTGATGATACATGATTTATTCAGCCATTTTACTGTTCTGAAACATCGATGATAAATGACGTATTCAGCCCTTTTACTGCTCTGAAACACTGATAATAATGACTTATTCAACCCTCTCATTGATCAGAAACACTAATGATAAATGATTTATTCAACCTTTTCATTGATCGGAAACACTGATGAAAATGACTTATTCAACCCTTTCTTTGATCGGAAACACTGGTGATAAATGAGTTATTCAACCCATTCACTGCTTCGAAACATCGATAATAGATGGCTTATTCATCCCTTTTACTGCTCTGAAACACTGATGATAATGACTTATTCAACCTTTTCACCTCTCTGAAACACTGATAATAAATAAGTTATTCAACCCTTTCATTGCTCTGAAACACTTATGATGATGACTTATTCAACCCTTTCATTGATAGATAACACTAAAGATAAATGATTTATTCAACCCATTCACTGCTTTGAAACATCGATGATACATGACTTATTCAACCCTTTTACTGATCTGAAACAGTGATGATAATAACTTTTTCAACCCTTTCATTGATCAGAAACACTAATGACAAATGATTTATTTGACCCATTCACTGCTCGGAAACATCGATGATAAATGACTTATTCAACTCTTTCATTGATCAGAAACACTAATGATAATGACTTATTCAACCCTTTCATTGATCAGAAAAACTAACGATAAATGATTTATTCAACCCATTTACAGTTTGAAACATTGATGATAAAAGACTTATTCAGCCATTTGACTGCTCTGAAACACTGCGTAATATCAGCCCGTTCACTGGTCGTAAGAAAATAATGATTACAACAATATTCCAGCTACATGCCGTCGGTCTGTAAATAATGGAGTCTAGACTAGACAATCTAGTGACTGACAGCATCTCAAATTTGAATACGATGACATGTATCAACCAAGTCAGCGAGCCAGACCACCCGATCCCTTTAGTTGCCTTTTACGACAAGCATGGGTTGCTGAAGGCCAATTCTAACCCGGTCAACCCTTTCACTGATCGGAAACTGATGATTGTTAAGTTAACGTCGACCCTTTCACTGATCGGAAACTGATGATTGTTAAGTTAACGTCAACCCTTTCACTGATCGGAAACTGATGATTGTTAAGTTAACGTCAACCCTTTCACTGATCGGAAACTGATGATTGTTAAGTTTATCGTCAACCCTTTCACTGATCGGAAACTGATGATTGTTAAGTTAACGTCAATCCTTTCACTGATCAGAAACGGATGATTGACGACGTCAACCATTTATGTTACCAGCTCTGGAATGTTGATGTTTACTGTCTTTATGTCAACCCTCCGTCAACCCTTTCACTGATCGGAAACTGATGGTTTCTCGCTTAACGTCATCACTTTCACCGATCGGAAAGTGGCGATTGTTGAATTGACGTCAACCCTTTCACTGATATGGAACACTATTCGTTGATTATTTAACGTTCTCCGGAATCTAAACTTGGTAATAACATAGTTCAGAGCATATACTACCAATATCCAGGTTGTTTACAACATTAGGTGATATTTCTAATCACATGAAAGTAAAGTAAGCTTGCTAATATACTATCAAAAAAAAGAAACGCATAGGCTTATAGATCTTTTTTCAAAAGTGTACACTCATACTAATATACTTTCATGTAAAATAATCAATATTTCTTATCTGGTGCCTTTCAGTCCCCGTCTCCGGTCACTTCAGAAGGATGTTCATCGTCACGTCAGAAACTGCCTCGGGAAATCAATGACTTGTACCAGGAGGAGGTAACTCTGTCACGCTTTTCACGAATGCTGCTTTAATAACAATAACGCCCCTTGGGTAGCCTGGGTGAAAGTGTTCGCTCGTCACGCCGAAGAACTGGGTTTGATTCTCCACGTGCTTGCACTACGTCTATCATCTTGGTCTTCTCTTAAGTCACAATATAGATGCATTACGACAGCTTATTCATTGTTACACAAAGGCGGTAGGGTAGCCTGGTGGTTAAAGCGTTCGCTCGTCACGCCGAAGACCCGGGTTCGAATCCCCACTTGGGCACAATGTGTGAAGCCCATTTCTTGTGTCCTCCGCCGTGATATTGCTGGAATATTGCTAAAAGTGGCGTAAAACTAAACTCACTTACTCACTCACTCACCCATTACCCTGTTATGACAGACAGCTTCTCATCCTCCTATAGGTATTGCTTCGAGCAGCGCAGCGACAATAGCGTTGAACACAAGCAAAACCCGCCGAAATGATTTTCCGTAATAAGCAAATTTGTATTCCGCGAAGAAACAACCCATCCATATTTCGATGCTCTCGAAGTTTTGTTTACTTTTAAACATTGACCTTTTGGACGAGCAAAGATTGAGTTACACAGTCATTAATTTTAATCCATGTTATGTTTCAGACTGTTGATGGGTTGTATGTGATGGCTGAGAGATTAGTCTTCGTATCCGGCAATCCGCAACATAAAGGCAAGCCACAAATCGCTGTAACCGTGAAGTACTGAAACGTTACGCATAGGACAAGTGTCAACCTTTCTCACTCTTCCTCAAAGCCTGACAAGATTATGTTCCATGGATATCTACCACCTGTATCTGGAACAGATACTAAGTGCCATTGCAATCAAACCCATTGTGCAATACTGAAACCTCGTGAAAATAACACTTTTATTTTTGTCGTAAGCGGCATTAGCAAATGTCGCTTATGACATTGACACTTCCGTCAACGTCACTTCCGGTTTGTGTTTTATTTCAATGGCAGCGGTCACCTTTCTCCTCTATCTTCTTATTTACAATTAGTCTTGAGATTTTGTTCGAGATTCAGGATTTTGTTTAGCTCATGTGCTCATGTTTATTTGTTATCATTCGATCACTTTTGTTCATCAACCCCTTTATGGTTTGATAATGAACAAACGTATGCAATCGTTATTACACTATATACGCAACTGATTTGTCAAAATAGTGTATTTAGTCTCTGCTTACTATTTTCACTGTTATTTTGTATGATTGTAATGAGTGTTGTGACAATGCAAAGAACGTTCCGTTTTGATATTTGCCTCATGTATTTTATTATTGGTTATGCTGTTGCTGCTCTCGTTAAAATGGGCGGTGGGGTAGCCTAGTGGTTAAAGCGTTGGCTCGTCACGCCGAAGACCCGGGATCGATTCCCACATGGGTACAATGTGTGAAGCCCATTTCTGGTGTCCCTGCCGTGATGTTGCTGGAATATTGCTAAGAGCGGCGTAAAACTAAACTCAGTCAGTCAGTCAATCAGTCAGTCTCGTTAAAATACATATTGCAAATATTGAAATTCTTCTGCACCGGTCGTTTTCTCATCCGAAGGGCGGTTGTATGCCCAAGGGATGGCCATGGTTATGCCTCATGCAAATTGCTTTAAATCGTGCTCTACTCTAATGAATGACCTTAGAGTAACATATTAGAGTAACATGGACGAAAAATATATCGTTTAAATAAATTCATACACATATATTTTGTTTTCCATGTGGAATTGACTTTAAACGAGGTTATTGTCGATCGCATCCCTTCTGATGTGTAGGTAATATATACTCATGCCAATAATGGTTGTCACCCCCTTCAATTTTTTTAATTGGAGAGGGTGTGGGTGTGAGGTGGGGTTGGGGTGGGGAGGGGTGACAACCATTATTGGCATGAGTATATTTTCTAGCAGGCATGCCCTTTAGGCGTGTATCCATGCATCATGATGTCTCTAATGTACACAATTGTCTGTTTCCTTAGTTACACATTTGATTAGCTTTCTAAGTTATACATTGACTCATGTCTTTAGTTACCTGTTAAATGTATTTTTTTACATTCACCAATTTTAACGTACAGATTACATTAGTTTTTTCTAAGGTACAGATTTAATTAAATTTCTTGGTTACATATTTAATCAGTTTCCTTAGATACGCAAATTAGATATACACTCTTTTTCCTTTGTTGTAATTAAATCGTTGTGCTTAGTTTTCTAAGATACAAGTTGAATCATTTTTCCGACGTATACCTTGAATCAGTTTTACCACGTACACGTATATATTCAATCAGTCTTTCAACATACTCATTAAATCCATGTTCTAGGGTACACATTAAACCGTGTGTGTGTTTTTTCTAGGTACACCTTGCCTGATTTTCTAAAATAGACATTGACTCCTATTTTAATCAGACATTAAATCAGTTTTCTAAGTTACATATTTATTTCAATTTTCTTACTTAAAACTCAAGTTAGGTTCCTTGGATGCACATTTAATTAGTTTTCCAAGGTCACACACATTAAATCACTTTCGTTAGTTGCATATTGAACAAGTTGTAAAACCGAAGCATTTCTTGTAAAGAAAAGCATTTAGTTTCAATAAAAGTCTGTTTCGAAAATCGATGGCCATGTTCTGTTTGTAAAGTATTTGTAGTGCATAGCGAAAACGAATTCCTTTGACGATGGAAGCGAGCTATTTTTACGCAATGTCGTATCTCTTCGGAATTCCTTTGAAGACAGCTGCCTTGCGGTGCCCCGTGCTGGTGACGCGCGTGCGTTAAGCTGTGTTACATGTTCCCGCGGTTAATCTCAACATTTCTCACGTCATTCAGTTACGTATTCAGTTGATTGTCGCTCCATATAATTTGTTACATTTGACACATTAGATAACTGAAATGTAAATGATGCCAAATACATCCCTGAACATTTTTGAATCGCCATTACGCTACGCTCTTGCTTCGGCTTTTTGGAAACACTTGTCGAGGCTGACCTTTCAGAGAGGGTGAAAATGTGTAATCTCGCGAGACCTCTCATCTGCTTTATATTGAACGGCGACGTGATTCACGAGATTTCTGACGTCATTACTAAACATGACTTCAGTGTAGCTACTTTATGGATTGGCATAATGACGTCACACTCTATGAGCTCATTTATCATTGGTCGGATGACTTCGACAGTTTCCGAGAGTTACATGCTCGTACAAGAATGTTTGAGAAAGGCCTATTGGAAATTGAAAGTAATGTCACGATAAAAAGAGTTTTGGACAAAAATAAAATCTGAAAACAGCCTGTGGAATGAAAGCTAAATTCGTCTAGAAGTGATAAAAGCGCTGACAGTTTCTTTGATCTCATCCGTCGTTAATAGTGTGTACGATATAGGTCTCTTATTGTACAAACGTCATAGTAAAAGTTTCTTTTTTCAATTTACCTTGTTTGACATTTATATAGCCTTTATATTACACGATGAGCTGTACATATAAAAAGGTAGCGAGTGAGTGAGTTGGGTTTTCCGTCAATTTAGGCAATATTCCAGCAATATCACGGCGGGGGACCCCAGAAATGGGCTTAACACATTGTACCCATGTGAGGATTCGAACCCGGGTCTTTGGTGTGACGAGCGAACGCTTTAACCACTAAGGTACTCTAAAGGAGAGGAGGTCTTACAAGAAATATTCGCACAAGATGTATCCACACCATTAGGCTCAAATTGTGGTTGGGTGGGTCGTGTTGGCAATAAAATTAGAAGGATCGGTCGGGCGACGAGAAACACAGAAAATAAAAATACTGCCTTGAGTAAGAATATCTGCATGGGTTGGCAAAATGAAAACAAGGTAATTTTGACAATAAGTTTAAATTAAGATTCATGTAAATCGATGATCCGTTATCGTTCAATATCAATTAAATAGCATATTCCCTTCCACTAATTTACCCTTGAACTTGAAATATAGGTCACCCCAGAGACTTCTTCATATGGTCATGTTTATATCTATGCATCTATGACGACTTAAACATTCCAACAGCCATAATCCTTTCCCGTGTTTCAGTGAGAATACTCTAAAATCATTAGATCAGTTTCATTTCTGTAGCGCTACACCATATCCGACTGAGATCGGGATGAGGGGACAGTTCTTAGTGAACTGACAAGAAACTTGAAGATCTCCCGCGGAGGGACATTGACCCACAGGGTGAGAAGGTCAGGTTTGTTTTACCCTTGATGACGTATCACTACGCATGACGGATACGGGGGTAAGTGCGTTGCGTCCCACATAGATGTAATGATGGAGTTTTCATCTTGCTGTATCCGAACATCGTGGGCACTGAAAGGTCAAAGGAGTAGAAGTACTATTTTAGCAATATAGAAAGAAAGATTTTGATTTGGTGTGTTATTTTTAACCTAAAGTGGTTGTAGTACGCAGATAAATACGCCAGTGATAGATGGCCTTGGCGTCTCCGTGGCGATATTAAGATATTGAAATCTCTTGAAGTTGGTTCTTTAACCAATTAACTCATCCGGTGTTTTATGAAATAATAAAATATAATTTAAGAATATTAAGAATTATTTTCGCATGTTGTTGAAATTATGTCCAGTCGGCGTGAAGGTTTTTCTCTCTGATCATGTGCTGAAGGCGCCTTGCCGCTTCGTTAAGCCGCTAGGGTGACCTTTCCAGTTAATATGTTTATTGTGAAAAGGTCTCCATCTTAAACTGATTACGAACAGCTGTCTGGATTGAGACTTCCGTATACGACAGCATGTCACACCGCCCGCGCGCAATCCAAGGTGGAATGGGAAGTAAACTTTTCAGAATTGACATGTATGAAACACTTCGTTTCACTGGCACAAGTTGTAGGAGGCGATGAGGGGGGAACGATGAGAGGGTGAGTGGGGAGTGATGACAAGGTGAGTGGGGAGTGATGACAGGGTGAGTGGGGAGTGATGACAAAGTGAGTGGGGAGTAATGAGAGGGTGAGTGGGGAGTGATGAGAGGGTGAGTGGGGAGTGATGACAGGGTCAGTGTGAAGTGATCACAGGCTGAGTGTGGAGTGATGACAGGTTGGTGGGGAGTGATGACAAGGTGAGTGGGAGTGATGACAGGGTCTGTGTGAAGTGATCGCATGCTGAGTGTGGAGTGATGACAGGTTGGTGGGGAGTGATGACAGGGTCAGTGGGGAGTGATGACAGGGTCTGTGTGAAGTGATCACATGCTGAGTGTGGAGTGATGACAGGTTGGTGGGGAGTGATGACAGGGTGAGTGGGGAGTGATGACAGTCAGTGGGGAGTGATGACAGGGTCAGTGGGGAGTGATGGCAGTTTGGTTGGAAGAGATGAGAGGGTAAGTGAGGAGTGATGAGAGGGTGGGTGGTGAGTGATGACAGGGTGAGTGTGGAGTGAAGACAGGGTGAGTGTCGAGTGATGACAGGGTGAGTGGGGAGAGATGACTGAGTGAGTGGTGAGTGATGACACGGTACGTGGTGAGTGATGACAGGTTCGTGGGGAGTGATGACAGGGTCAGTGGGGAGTGATGACAGTCAGTGGGGAGTGATGACAGGGTGAGTGGTGAGTGATGACAGGGTGAGTGGTGAGTGATGACAGTCAGTGGGGAGTGATGACAGTCAGTGGGGAGTGATGACAGGGTCAGTAGGGAGTGATGACAGTCAGTGGGGAGTGATGAGGATGACAGTGGGGGAGGGGTGAGGGTGAGTGATGACAGGGTCAGTGGTGAGTGATGACAGGGTCAGTGGGGAGTGATGACAGGGTCAGTGGGGAGTGATGACAGTCAGTTGGAAAGTGATGAGGAGTGAGGTGAGTGATGAGAGGGTGGGTGGGGAGTGATGACAGGGTGAGTGTGGAGTGAAGACAGGGTGAGTGTGGAGTGATGACAGGGTGAGTGGGGAGAGATGACTGAGTGAGTGAGTGAGTGATGACACGGTAAGTGGTGAGTGATGACAGGGTTGATGGGGAGTGATGACAGGGTTGAGTGGGAGTGATGACAGGGTGAGTGGGGTGGAGTGATGACAGGGTGAGTGGGGTGAGTGATGACACGGTAGAGTTGGGAGGTGAGTGATGACAGGGTCGGTGGGGAGTGATGACAGGGTGGGGAGTGATGGGAGTGATGACAGGGTGAGTGGTGAGTGATGACAGGGTGAGTGGGGTGGGGAGTTAGGGCTCAGGTGACAGGGGGTGAGTGGAGGAATGAGTGATGACAGGGTGAGGTGAGTGATGACAGGGTGAGTGAGTGATGACAGGGGTGAGTGGGAGTGATGACAGGGTGAGTGGGGAGTGATGAAAGGGTTGGTTGGGGAAGTGATGACAGGGTCGAGGTGAGTGATGACAGGGTGAGGTGAGGTGATGAAAGGGGATGACAGGGTAGGGTGATGTGAGGTGATGACAGGGTCAGAGAGGATGTATGACAGGGTCAGTGAGGGAGTGATGACAGGGTTGACAGGTGAGGTGGGGAGGTGATGACAAGGTGAGTGGGGAGTGATGACAGGGTGAGGTGTGGAGTGATGACAGGTGAGGAGTGATGACAGGATGAGGAGGGTGAGACAGGGGAGCGGTGAGTGATGACAGGGTTGGTGTGGAGAGTGATGACAGGTTGAGTGGGTTGAGGTGAGTGATGACAGGTTGGTGGTGGAGGGTGATGACAGGGTCTGGTGGGAGTGACAGGGGGAGTGGTGATGACAGGGTCAGTGGGGAGTGATGACAGTGTGAGTGGGGAGACA